ATATATATATATATATATATATATATATATATATATATATATATATATATATATTGATATCACTCATTAATTGCTCAGTGAGTTTCTAGATTTGATTATTTTATACATTTAGAACATTGTTTTATACATTTTTAGATACATTTAGATACATTTAGATTTACAGCAAATCCAAGAATTCACTAAACGTATGTTGAGTAGTGTAGTATTGAATATATACACTGTGACCTCTCTCAAGCTAGCAAGACCAAGTGAGCAGAATCAAATGGGACTTATCGCATTTTTTAGTATTCATTTTGTACTATTTTGTACCACAAAAAAAATTTGTACCACATGCCGTTTAAAAAAAAATGGTGGTGTTGCTAACTTGGTATCAAACTAGCAGGACCAAAAAAAATTAAAAAAATAAATAAACTATGGTATACACAATTAGTACTGAATTTGTACCATTCAAAATAAATCGAAAATTTTATATTTTCCCCTTTAAACAACCCCTCCCTTATCTAAACCTAATATAAAGATAGCAGGATCACGATTTTTTTCACTTTTTCTTGATGGTACAAATTAGTATAAATTCAAAAACGATAAAATCTATTATTTCTTGTCGTTTTTTACCAGTTTTTATTTTGTTCTCTTTATATTAAGTTAGCAGAACCACAATATTTTTTTAAATAGTACGGGGTACAAAATTATTTTTTATGGTACAAAAAAGTACACAATGAGTAATAAAAAATGCAATAAATATAATTTGATTCTATCGATTTAATTCTTAATAATCGAAAGAGAGAAATTTTATTTTTGAGGTTGGTTAAATGTGAGGTTGTTTTAAGGGGTAAACAGAAATATTTGCATACTTTTCTCAGTGGTACAAATTAGTACAAATTCAAAAACGATAAAATCTATTGCAATTTGCCGTTTTTCAATGATATTTACTTTGTTAGCTTAAAATTAAGTCAGCAGAACTACAATTTTTTATAAATAAAACAAGGTATAAAATCATTTTTAATGGTACAAAATATTACAATAAGTACTGAAAAATGCAATAAATTTGATTTGATTTTACTGATTTAATACTTAATAATCGAAGCAGAAAGCTTTATTCTTGAAGCTGAGGTCAAAGTTGAGGTTATTTTAAAGGGTCGGTAGGAATATTTTTGATACTTTTTTTGGTGGTACAAATTGGTACAAATTCTGAAACGACAAAATCTACTATTTGTTTCGTTTTTTTAACAATTTTTATTTTTCTGACTTTATATTAAGTCAGTAGGATCACGATTTCTCTTAAAGGATGTGGAATATAAAATTGTTTTTAATGGTACAAAATTACATTAATCGTGTAGTATTTTGTATTATCAAAAATGATTTTGTACCTCGTTTTATTTAAAAAAATATTGTGGTTCTGCTGACTTAGTATAAAGAAAACAAAATAAAAACTGGTAAAAACCGACAGAAAACAATATATTTTATTGTTTCTGAATTTTTACTAATTTGTACCACCGAGAAAAGTATGTAAATATTTCTGTTTACCCCTTAAAACAACCTCACATTTAACCAACCTCAAAAATAAAATTTCTCTCTTTCGATTATTAAGAATTAAATCGATAGAATCAAATTATATTTATTGCATTTTTTATTACTCATTGTGTACTTTTTTGTACCATAAAAAATAATTTTGTACCCCGTACTATTTAAAAAAATATTGTGGTTCTGCTAACTTAATATAAAGAGAACAAAATAAAAACTGGTAAAAAACGACAAGAAATGATAGATTTTATCGTTTTTGAATTTGTACTAATATGTACCATCAAGAAAAAGTGAAAAAATCGTGATCCTGCTATCTTTATATTAGGTTTAGATAAGGTTGTTTAAAGGGGAAAATATAAAATTTTCGATTTATTTTGAATGGTACAAATTAGTACAAATTCAGTACTAATTGTGTGTATCATGGTTTATTTATTTTTTTTTTTTTTTTTTGGTCCTGCTAGCTTGATATCAAGTTAGCAGCGCCACCATTTTTTTTAAAACGGCACGTGGTACAAATTTTTTTTGTGGCACAAAATAATACAAAATGAGTACTAAAAAATGCGATAGGTCCCATTTCATTCTGCTCATTTGGTCCTGCTAGCTTGAGAGAGGTTACACTGTGTACAGTACACTCTGAGAAAAGACATGGTGATGGCAACTATAAGAGGTTTATTTGTACAGAATTATATATATATATATATATATATATATATATATATATATATATATATACACACA